CTGCTGACAACAGCTCTGAGCTTTACCACATGACATTAATTTACAGGGTTCATTTGTCAGAAGTAAACCTGGCTCAGTGTTTAGAGGGAGGAAAAAACACCTAGCAATCAAAGTTATTTGTGTTAACATGTTTAAGGCCTCAATGGCCTCCAAGAATCACAGAAAAACCTACATATTTGTATACAACTCCCTGCAGAACTGCCAGGTTACAAAGTCTTGCCAAAAGAGAGCAGCAGAGGCCATGAATAAAACCACGGAGACAGCGTCTTCCACTATTCTCTGACGCTTCCCGTAACACTGGCAACAGCACCGCTGTTTACTGTATTGTCAAAAAGCACAAAGGATTTATACTTCATGGTATTTTTGTGTAGAGAGCAGTGGCCGTGGTTTGTGGGAAGCCACACTGTTCACTCACAGTTCAATCAATCACATTTTCAAGACACAACCACAAGTTTAATTTAGTTTGTGGAGACAACATGCTTTTGCACTTTGTCTTAAACAATGGTTACTGAAAATACAGCTGTATTTTAATCTAGTACGGACAAACAGAAGAGTTCATACTGTCACTACAAAAATAAAATTCATCACATGTAACACATCTCAAGTGAAAATAACCCCTCGTGTTAAAAATACGTATTTCAGAAGAGGCACACCCCGCTGATTCACAGTGGACCTGGTCCAGTGTTGACTCAGCTGTATCTGTTCCGTTTCTCAGGAGCAACTGGCAGATGCTATTTTAGTGAATAAATCAATTAATACGTTAATAAAACTGATACACAAAGACAATGTTTATTACTTAACTTGAGATGTGTTGATTTTTACATTTTAACTATATAATAAAAACAGGCAAACTACTAAAAGTCTGTATGTTTCTAATATGTCTGTTCTCTAATATTTTATACACCTTCTGCTTACTGTCATGAAAATATTTACTATGTTAACTCTTGGCAGTAGCATGGCCATAACCTCTCTGGTTTCATGAAAATCCTGAGGGAACATACAACCAAGCGCCAGAAAAAAACATTTTTGACCACTGTATTCAACTCTACAAAGGCTAACAAAAAGTTCTATAGTGTTCCCTTAAGACAGGAGGTTAGTCAGACCAGGGTTTACGGCAGCACAACATGTTTCTGTTAATAAAACATTTACCTTTTAGTCCTGGTAAGTATGCAGGTTTTACAGCCTGGCTCACAGGCATCTCTGATTGGTTTATTATTTCAAGGTTTTCACCAGTATGGTTGGCATTCAGCTAATTTCCTGTGGAACATTCTGCATTCCTTGTTGGAATGTAAGCATACGTGTTCACTGACATGAGTCTGCAGCTAACATGGAGCCAACTAGGACTTGCCCTGCCAAAACGGTATGATGCAGGCTGTGGTGTATTTTGTACAAGTAATTTTCTATGTGCATTCTCCATAATGGTGTTGCGTTGTTATGACTGCAACAGCTCAGTGTGTGTGTGTGTGTGTGTGTGTGTGTGTGTGTGTACGCCTGTTGCTCATGGATCCTCTTGCAGAATCTGGAGCCTGTCCTCTGCGTATTGAGGGCTGCTGCGTCCAGTATCGATAGCCTCACAGTCGTTGGACAAATACACCAAGTCCTGCCAAAGAAAAACAATAATGTATGTTCAGGTCACTCAAGCACGAAAACAAGAATGTTGAGGTCAAAGCACTGTTGAGTTTTGAGATGTTCTCACCCGGTAACACATTCTGGTGATGATGTTGTACAATACGTAGGCTTTGCGTTTCAGCAGCACCATCCTGGGAAGCTGTCTGCAGTCCTGGTCTGGGTGGTTCAGCAAGAGGTAGACGAAGTCACGGAGCTTGGTGGAGAGGCATTCGTTCTAGAAAGATAAAACAAGTTAAATAAACATCACAGTCATATTGCATCCCATCTTTTCCCAAACCCTCATCAAACAGGCCCAGGATTCCAGTCAGACAGAAATAAAAATATCTTACTGGAATCCTGAAAACGGCGAGTTAAAGGTGTAAAAGGTGATAATCCAATATTTTCCAAGCACCCCTGTGTGTGTGTGTCCCCAAATCAAATGCATCCCCCCCTCATTCTTCCAAACCTACGTGCACATCGATGAAGATCCTTGGCAGGTATTGGACACACGCTTTCTGTAACCCAAAGGACATTACCATTAAAGTACACAAACACATAACCTCGCCTACTAAATGTGACACAGTGATCGGTGTCACAGTGCCTACCGTGTTGTCGTTATTGTGCATTCTGTCCACAAGACCCATGACGACTTTGCCCAGGGCGAGTGCTCTGGAGTAGCAGGTCGACGGCGCGCACGCCGACAGCCGCGCACAGGTGAGGAAGCACAGGAGAGTCGCGAGTCCCAGCCTCATATCGGATGATAACACTCTGCTCAGGTCTGCTTCCAGCTGCTTGTATGCCCCAGGCAGTTTCAAATAGTAAAGGGGAGGGCTTGCTGCCGTTTTATGGATGGAGCTGTACCAAAAAAAAAAAAAAAAAAAAAACCCTGAAACGCAGCAGCTCTGGAGAAAACATTCAGGGTCTGCTGTGTTTTAAAGAGGAAAAACCTGTTCCGTGTTCATGCAGGGACCACATACCACAGTGACCGACCTCCTGCTGACAAACCTTTAGCAGCTTCCCGTCACATTCCCAATCATTTATTTTGGCTTGTCAATTCCTAAAACCAAGAAACAAGGGGAAGTCTGGCTTGTATTCGTGTGGATCATCAGAGGGTATCCAAGGTTGTCAAACTTAGAAACAATTTATTTGTCTCATAGGTTTTAACTGTTGCACATGAAGGAACCCCAGGATCTTTGTGTTTGGATTTCATGGTGTCTCCACTGGGGAGGCACACTATCCTGACATCGGCCAGTATCTGCGGTTTTGGCGCAGACTTCTGAATTTATGTTCTGTTCTTTTCCCAGTAAGCTGCTTATTGATATGTAGCCTTTTAAGAAGAACTGAGCCTGTAAATCTGTGAATTTTTCCACCATTTAAAAGATGCCAGAGGCATGGAAAACTAACCTGAGTCAACTGCTTATGTATGGCCCGCATCCTACCTATGAACAACTCAAAGTAATGAGTAATTAATTGGAAACAGTTAAATGTAGCTGCCTTTACTTACAAACAAAGCCAGATGCTACATAGAACATACAAAAAGTGTGCTATTTCTTTTTGCTAAATGGCAAAACTACAGGTTTATTTTTGTATTATATACAGTATATGCTTATATAAAGTACCACCATCATAAAAAAACTTAACAAAACACAATGTTGTGAATCTCAAGGTAGGTTTGTTGGAGCCACTGAGCCTTTCTTCAGGTTGAGAAAATTCCTCTTCCTTTTTCTCTTGGGGACGTCCACACTGTCACACGATTCTGGCGCATCTCGAAACACAAAGAGCTGTTCTGCTTTTGTCTTGTGCTCCTCTGCTGAAGTGTGTAACGTTTCATTCGCCGTGTCCACGACTATTTTGTTTGCAGTGTCAGTCTTCTGCTGCTGTTTGTTTTCAGTCATGGTCGATTCATAAATAGGCCGCTGTGCATGGGTAAAACTATCCTCCTTTCCCTTCTCTTCAACCAGCAGGGGTGCAACATCTCTTGGCCGAGATCTGAAGAGCAGTTTTTCCATCAGACTTTGCCTCTTTTCCTGGAACCTGTGTGAAACAAAGAAGCTGTTGTTAGTAGGAGTGGAGCGTTAAGGTGCTTACCTCATGCTTGCAGTCACTGCAGCCCAGCCGTGTAAGTTGTCTGATGAAAGGCATATTTCACTTCAGTAAAGGATCTGTCTATGATGCTGGTGACCCCCGAGCTACAAAATTAGTCTTAACATCAAGTCTTTATATGGCAACTGGTAGCAAAACACAGAAATGTGTTGAACTCACCTCTCTCTCTCCACAGCACAGCTCGATGGATTTAGCATATTTTTATGCACCACGTTTTCCCTCAGCTTGACAGGAAGCAGTCGGTTAGTCCCTGCAGCACACCTGGTCAAAATGTCATCACGTTATTATGAGGCAGGTAACTGTGATGCAATCTCTGCAGAGAGTGCTCAGGGATGCCTAGCTATTTGATATACTGTAACAAAAATGATTAAACTCAAAAAACCTTTTCAATAAAATAAACGAGATTTAAATATGATTAGGTTGCTTTAGAAGCTTACTGCATGTTAGGCCTGTCAAATTAATAAAAAACACTGACAAAACACACAAGGTTATGTTTCACAGGGATACATATTTAAGATTCCCTACAAAATGTTGAACTGTTGTAAGTTCATGTTTTAAAATCATGTGCAATCATGTGTTTATGTAACATACGGTACCTGTTAACTGGTCAGAATGTGCACAAAAGCAAAATGTAAAAGTAGACTAGGGCCAGCGGTGCTTGGTAACGTAATTTCATTTCATTCTGGGTATTTCAGGAGCAGCTGATGTTTGATTAGCTACACATGGCTCAGATGTAACACACAACACTCCTGAGCACACTTACCTACACATTTTAGACAGTGGCGAGGAAACGTACCAGAACAAATGCAGGACAAATGTCAGGACGA